CCAGGTAGAAGCATAGTATGGTCTTACCATGATGACAATTCGATCTAGAATAGTTGCAGCGGGATGGTGGGAAATGTATGGATTTGAAAGATAATTAGAAGATAAAATCCATAATACATAGGTTTATGTAGGAAAAATAATAGCTAGCAATTTAATAAGACATGGCCAGAAACAAATTATTCTTTCAGTTCTATGGTATGTAATATTTACAAAAGTCCATCTGTGTATAAAAAAGAAAAATCTGTTGGTTCCCATCATGAGTTTCAGTTCACACTTATTCTTCCAACCAACTGCATAAAAATCTAACTGTCACAAACTGCAGTAAGAATTTCAAAGTGGATTTGCTTTACTAGTTTATATTATAAGCCCTGGAATACTTTTCATAGGAGGGTTAATGAAAATCTCTCTCTCTTCTCAAAGTAATCATAGATGCTATATTGGGCCAAACTCTCTGACAGTAAAAAAAGACTAGACAATTCAAATATCCAGTTGCTTTGATTAGTTCACTTATTGTCAATGTCAATGACTCTGTAGGAACAATGACCTAAAATGTTTACAGAATAGACAAGTGTGCATTTTTTTTTTGTTTTTTGTTCTTGTTTTTGTTTTTTATAGTGATGAACCAAGCAACCTGTATTGGACAGATTGGCAAAGAAAATTAAGAACTGAAGGATTAAAAAGAAGAAAGGAGAAGGACCTGGAGGTAGAGATGATGGTCAAGAATGATTGTATCAGACATAACCAAGCCTGCTGCCTAAGAAGAAAACCTTGTGGTCAGAGTTTAGAATGCTTGAAGTAATGCCTTTGGAGGAGTCGAACTTACAACAGATCACAATTGAAAAGGTAGGAATTTGAAGGTGGCTGACCGAACCAAAGGAAGTGAGGTCCCTAGGAGTCAAGACATCAAGAAAACTGAGAAGCTAAACACTGAAGGAATTACCATCCTTACAGACTTGACATCAATCAAAATTATATAAGCTTTAGTCAAATAGAATTAGTAAGTGCCAAGGTTCTTGATAAATTGCAAAGATTGAAATCTAGAAAACATATGAACATAACTAGGTGAGTGGGTGGAGAGCTTAATTTTGCAAAATGGCCTGTATCTGAAAAAAGTAGATTTGTGTAATTTATTTTCAGTAGGTCAGGATAGAGGATTCATAGCCCAGAAACAGTAATGGAGAACCATCTCGATATACAAGGAAGTAGGTGAGCTCTGGGGAAAAAAAATGATTGAAGAAAATAAGTTTAAGATTCTCTAATGGATCCAATCCCATTTGCTTTTTATGCCATCTAAGTCTACAACCTCACCTTCAACTTAACCTATGTTGGTCTTTGCCAACATAGACATTGGATGTGTAATCATACCAACTGTGTCATGCTTTCATATGGTTAGCTGTATATATAATGTTTACTCTTCAGTATTTATAAGGCTTACTCTGATGAATTATATATTTTTTTAGGATCCAGCTCAAATGTAACTTACTTTGACCTTCTCCTTCCCCACTGTGCTCACTATCCATCCACCAGCAGATCAGATGGCTCTCACCCATGCACGTCCATGGCTTTTGGGCATAGCTTCATTAACACACTTTTCCATTCTGTAACAGATATTTTTAATGTGTTTACTCTCCCAGTAGACAGTGAGCAACTTGAGGGCAAGTTTCACACCTTATTGATCTTTGTATTATTTCTATCCCCAGCTTAGGGAATGATAGAGGGTAAACAGTAATAAATTGCTGAAATAAATTGAATTTTAAAAATTATCTTGTTCCCTAAGTAGCCACCTTCCTCTACCATGTCAAAAACATCGAATCCCTTGTCCTCTAACAATGGTGTTTTTCATATGCCCAGGAGATTTAAAAGCAGACAGCAGAGAGCTGAAATGAAAAGACTCATTACAGTATTGCTTTAGAGCTACTGGGTCATATTTTGCAACCATACTGTGCCACCAATATAATTAGAAGATATTGAACTTTCATTAGTTAGAGAACCCAGCCACCCTTTAATTGTCATTATTTTTTTTTTTTTTTTTTTTTTTTTGCTGCCTGTAATAGCCTCATGAGATAGACATCTCATTTCTGTGACAGACCCAAGGGTCACCAGTGGTATAATTTTATTTCCCTATACTTGAATGCAGCCCAGAATAGTATTCAACACTTAATACATTCCTAATTGTCATTAGTAACTTCAGTCAAATACAAATTAATCCAGTTTCCCATTTTAAAATCAGAATTTCTCAGAGTTGGAAAGAGTGATAATTCATTGCTACTTATATGTTTGCATGCCTCCTCAGTAGTCTTGTCACCTTTGTTCATTCCTGTGGCCAAACACCTTGAAAGAGGAAGAATTCTCTGCATCCCATGACAACTCATTTCACATTTTTTACAACTTTATCTTACCTGTATAGGATGAAACAAATACATTACCCAGCAATTTTATGTCTATCAATTGTATTATATGACATAATCCTTGTATTATATGACATAATCGTTTTTTATAATATTGGGAAACAATTATATTGCCCCTTGAGACTTCATACAGCTGGGCTATTTATGCCCAGTTTTCTCACCTATTTCCATGTTGTATTATTTGTGTTAATGTCATTATCTTGATAACTTTCTCTCCCTTCAATGTGTTTATAATCCTTAAGATGAGGGAGCCTCACAGAACTGAATCTAATACCCCCATTTTTATGTCTATGTAATGAAGGAAAACCAAAGCTTCACCCTTGTGCTGTAGGTGTTTATACTTTCTTATATACAAACTAAATGTTGGTTTGTTTGCTTTTTTCTGGTGGTGGGTGATATTACAACAGATTTTTATAATTGACATCTCACTTTGATACTTACAATACTGAGAGTAAATTATCAAAGGGATATGCTTAAGTAAATCCACTCCCATTACCACTATCTCTGACCACCATTGCCCGCATTTACAGAAAATGAAACCAAAGAGCAGCAGTAGTTTACCTTACCTCTATAATTTATATTGCTTATTAAAATTATTGTCTATTATATCCATTTAGTTAAATATAGTTCACAAATGGTGTATTCAGCAGCAGCACTTACTTCCTGCATCTAACATAGTACTCACCACACTGCACTGCAATTTCTCTGTGTGTCTCTCTCCGAAACAAGAGTCTGTATACTCCATGGCTGGACCTGGCCTTACATGGCTTTGTATTCCCAGCACCTAGCACATCACATTTGTTGAATAAATGATGATTTTTTTGTATACAAACCTCATTGATTTTTGTATTACTGTATTAATATATATGAAATATAGATATGAAGGACATAATTGCACTCAGTAAAACATAGAAAAATGCTGCCAAGTGGAAAAAGGACTCAGCATCTTCTACAATAGCACCAACAAAAGCTAGACCAATAAGGAAAATTATACAGAATATATTCTAATTTTTATTATTATAACTTGGCAAAGGATTTTCAATAATCCTCAGCTACATAAAATTCCAGGTAATCTAGCCAAGTTGGTTGCATTTATACTTATAAAATCTGCTATTACTTTATTATCCCAAGTTACTCTCCCCTATCAGAGACTAAAACAACCCAACATACATCCATATAGTGGCACAAATGTTGAGGAACATTAGGATAAATAGGGCCCATGATCAAAGCAATGATGGTGGTTGTTTGGGATTTTCTTTTTCCTTTAAAATAGCTAACACTTATTTAGCACTTATCTTATGCTAGATAATATTCTAAGGCTTTGCATGGATTATTTCAATTAATCCATGTACTCACCTTGTGAAATAGTTCGAAGTATAAGTCCATTTCACAGATGAAAAATTTAAGGCCAGGGTTAACACTCAGGGATTCTGACTCTAGAATAATTGATACATCCATCTCCCTATAAAACATTGTCTGAACATCTACTCTAAATAGTTTATAAAACAGTTCAACCTATTATCTTAATTTAGGATATTTGTAATAAGCAAGTTTAACTTTTTAAGAATTCATACAACTCAATAGCAAAACAAAATCTCATTTAAAAATGGGCAGAAAAACTGAATAGATATATTTCCAAAGAAATATGGTTACAGGAACAGGAAAATATGCTCAACATCACTAATTATAAGGGGAATGCAAATCAAAACCACAATGAGATATCACCTCACCCCTGCTAGAATGGTAAAGATGTGAAGGGAGGGGAACCCTCATGCACTGTTAGTGGGAATTTAAATTGGTGCAGCCGCTATGGAAAATAGTATGGAGGTTACTCCAAATACTAAAAATAGAAGTATTATATGTTACAGCAATCCCACTTCTGGGTATATATCTAAAAGAAAAGAAATCAGTATCTCATCTGTACTCCCATGTTTATTTCAGTATTATTTAAATTTATAATAGCTAAGACATGGAAACAGCTTAAGTGTCCACTGAAGGATGAATGAATAAAGAAAATATAGTATCTACATACACAATGGAATATTACTTGGCCAGAAAAAATTGAAATCTTGTCTTTTGCAACAACATGGATGGACCTTGAGGACACATGCTAAGTAAAATAAATCATAGAAAGACAAATATTATTTGATCTTACTTATGTAGAATCAAACACACACACACAAACACACATACTCATAGATACAGATAACAGATCGGTGACTGTCAGAGGCAGAAGGATGGGAGGTGGATGAAATGGGTGAAGGGAGTCAGAAGGTACAGACTCAAAGCTATAAAATAAATAAGTCATGGGAATGTAATGTACAACATGATGACTATAGTTAATAATACTGTATTGCACCCTTGAAAGTTACGAAGAGAGTAAATCTTAGAAGTTCTCATCACATGAAAAAAGTTCCATAACTATGTATGGGGATGGATTTTATCTAGACTTACTATGCTGATCATTTTGCAACATACACAAATATTGAGTTATTATGTTATACACCTGAAACTAATATTGTATATGTCAAGTGTACCTCAATAAACAAGCAAACAAATGATGAATGCTCCCTAATTCCAAAGTAGGATTTCTTTTTTTTTTTTTTTTTTGGTGCCAATTAAATACCGTTTTATTTAAGACATTGCATTTTCCACTTAACAATAACAGTGCTTATAAAGTGCAATGTTCATTTCCTTTCCCTGTGCACGTATTTCATATTCAAGTATCAAGAATGCCCAGTTTATTTATACTATAGCAGCTCAACATTAAAACTGCCATGGAATTTGCTACAAATTTGGGTCCTTCGAATATTTTGTGGAACAATGCTAGACCTATTCTCAGGTTGGCTTAATCAACCTCTTCGATGGTGGGTCCAGAGGAGGCACCACCAGACGGAGGAGCTCCACCACCAGGGAAGCCTCCAGGCATTCCTCCTGGCATGCCCCCTGCACTCTGGTACAGTTTGGTAATGATAGGATTGCAGACTTTCTCCAGCTCTTTCTGCTGGTGTTCGAATTCTTCCTTCTCTGCAGTCTGGTTCTTATCAAGCCAATTGATGATTTCATTGCACTTGTCAAGAATCTTCTGTTTGTCCTCGTCATTGATCTTGCCCTGAAGTTTTTCATCTTCAACAGTTGCTTTCATGTTGAATGCATAAGACTCAAGTGAATTCTTGGAAGACACCTTGTCCCGCTGTTTCTCATCTTCAGCTTTGTACTTCTCAGCTTCCTGGACCATGCGCTCAATGTCTTTCTTGCTCAAGCAGCCCTTGTCGTTAGTGATGGTGATCTTGTTCTCTTTCCCTGTGCTCTTATCCACAGCAGAGACGTTGAGGATACCGTTAGCATCAATATCAAAAGTGACTTCAATCTGAGGAACGCCACGAGGGGCAGGAGGGATGCCTGTGAGTTCGAACTTGCCAAGTAGGTTGTTATCCTTGGTCATGGCACGCTCCCCTTCATACACCTGAATGAGCACAGCAGGCTGGTTGTCAGAGTAGGTAGTGAAGGTCTGTGTCTGTTTGGTAGGAATAGTAGTATTACGCTTGATAAGAACAGTCATGACTCCTCCAGCAGTTTCAATGCCAAGAGAAAGTGGAGTGACATCCAACAGCAGCAAATCTTGAACATTTTCAGATTTGTCTCCAGAAAGGATGGCTGCCTGGACAGCTGCACCGTAAGCAACAGCCTCATCAGGGTTGATGCTCTTATTCAGTTCTTTCCCGTTGAAGAAATCTTGTAGAAGCTTCTGAATCTTGGGGATACGGGTAGAACCACCCACCAGCACAATATCGTGGATTTGAGACTTGTCTAGTTTGGCATCCCGAAGGGCTTTCTCTACAGGGTCCAGGGTGCCACGGAACAGATCAGCATTTAATTCTTCAAACCGGGCACGAGTAATAGAGGTATAGAAGTCGATTCCTTCATATAGAGAATCAATCTCAATACTGGCCTGCGTGCTGGAAGAAAGTGTGCGCTTAGCACGTTCACAAGCAGTACGGAGACGACGAACTGCCCTCTTGTTTTCACTGATGTCCTTCTTATGTTTGTGCTTGAACTCTGCAATAAAATGGTTGACCATCCTGTTGTCAAAGTCTTCTCCACATAAGTGGGTGTCTCCAGCTGTGGATTTGACCTCAAAGATCCCATCTTCAATAGTAAGGATTGACACATCAAAAGTGCCACCTCCCAAGTCAAAAATCAGCACATTCCTTTCAGCACCAACCTTCTTGTCTAAGCCATAAGCAATAGCAGCAGCAGTTGGCTCGTTGATGATTCGAAGTACATTGAGACCAGCAATAGTTCCAGCATCTTTGGTAGCCTGACGCTGAGAGTCATTGAAGTATGCAGGTACCGTGACAGCTGCATTGGTAACAGTCTTCCCAAGGTAGGCCTCTGCAATTTCCTTCATCTTCGTCAAAACCATAGAGGACACCTCCTCTGGATAGAAACTTTTTGTCTCTCCCTTGTATTCTACTTGGACCTTAGGCCTACCAGCATCATTCACCACCATAAAAGGCCAATGCTTCATATCAGATTGGACAACAGCATCATCAAATCTACGTCCAATCAGGCGCTTGGCATCAAAAACTGTGTTGGTGGGGTTCATCGCAACTTGATTCTTTGCAGCATCACCGATCAATCGTTCTGTGTCAGTGAAGGCGACATAACTTGGAGTGGTTCGGTTTCCCTGATCATTGGCAATTATTTCCACTTTCCCGTGTTGGAAGACATCCACGCAAGAGTAGGTGGTGCCAAGATCAATGCCAACCGCAGGTCCCTTAGACATGGTTGCTTCTGTGTGGGCCTGGCTCGGCTTGAGAAGAATTCAGAGGTCTGGTGATTTAGCCCAGCATTCAATGAGCCCAAAGTAGGATTTCTTAATCTCAGCTCTGTTAACATTTGAGGTGGAATGATTCTATTTTTTTAAGATTTTATTTATTTGACAGAGAGAGACACAGCTGGAGAGGAAACAAAAACAGGGAGAGTTGGGAGAGGCAGAAACAGGTTTCTCACCGAGCAGGCAGCCTGATGTGGGGCTCGATCCCAGGACCCTGGGATCATGACCTGAGCCAAAGGCAGACGCTTAATGACTGAGCCACCCAGGTGCCCCAATAATTCTTTTTTTTTGTGGGGTACTGTCCCATGTGTTGTAGAATGTCTAGCAGCATCCCTGGCCTGTCCACCAGATACCAAAACATCCTCCCCCTACTTGTGAGAATATCTCCAACACATTGCCAAATGTCCCCTAGGGGCAAAATCACTGTCTAAAAGTAAAGAAAAATGATCTGACTTTAAAAAGTTCTACCTTATCTTGATCATATTTTTCTTTACAAAAATATTTCTCATGTGCCATATAGATAAGTAACATAATAAAGAAGTGACTTTTGAAACAAGGGAGAAAACCTGATTAGGAGCTGCTTCTTGTGGACACCATTGGCAGATCTCATTTCTCTTCTTTCTCCTATGACACAAAATCATTTTTTGGGTCCTCCCCAACCCTGCACCCACAGATGTGTATTAGTATGTGTACTAATCCCACTCTTCTCCTCCATCCTAAAATCCCTGAACAATAATTCTATTTTTGTTATCCAATCTGTCTCTATACTTCGATTGGTGGGGATGGATTACAATGGAAACAAGATTGGTCCAGAAATATCGTCCTGTCTTCAGACTTTCTCCAATACCCTCCCCACACTAAGTTTCATGAAAATCAAATTTAAGTTCAAGAAGCAAATACCATCAGACCTTCATCAGATGTACTGAAGTTGCTGCTTCTTTTCTTCATGTTTTTAAATTAAGTTTAGGGTTGAATTTAGTCATGTCTCTTACACCACTTTTCATAAAATAGTAACTACTTTCAGGAAAAATTAGGAATATTACTCCAGATATTACCTTTAAAATATATGTACATTTCCTACTCCATTTGTATGTTTTGTAAGGTTAACGCTGAATTTTAACATAAAGATGGGATTTTTTCATTGATTGCACAATCATTTGAATGCAAATTATAATTTTCAAGGATGTTAATATTGAAGCATATGCCTTCTAACTTAACCCAAAGGGGACAGTAAGAAGGTCCTACAACATCTTCATCTATAAGGTTACAGTCACTCTTTTCCTCCAACTCATTTCAAATTTGGCTAAAAACATCTCCCACCCACCCCACCCTCAATGTTATTCTCAATTTGCAACCAAATGCAAATGAGTTCATCCAGTAAAGACTCGGGTCCTTTCCTTTCAACCAGAAACAGTGACCTCAGGAAGAAGAGAACATTTGTATTCTGATCTTTTTGTCAGTTGTCTACTCCAACTGGACAAACAAGGCAAAAGTAATGTAGCCTGCTTCTCTCACAGAATTCAAGAAAGAACTAACTTTCCCAAAGTGAGTTATAATTTGATGTCAAAGTGCAATTTAGATATATGTACATTATGTCTTATTTCAATGAATTCTAAGCATATCTGAAAAAATGAATCAAAATATTTTTTCACCTGACCAATATCTAAGTCTTAATTTCTTTTTAAAATTACATGTTAATTCTAAAGGCAGATAAATAAATGGAGACCACATCTTTTTTAGTCTTTGGAAAGAATTGTCATTTTATTCCAAATTGTCTTCTTCTAATATATACTAAAAAGAAATACGGCCAAGAGAAAATTCCATAAATTCAGTTCCCATTTATATGAACTATAAAATATTATACCTTTATTTATTTTACTAATAATTACATTTTTATGTCATTGGTAATGACATTTTTGGATTGAATGAGACCTCATAGATTTTCACATAGCCATGTTTGTTCTTTTTCTGAATACAGTAACTTCTTTGAAAGTAATGATTTTAACTAGTGTGTTGTGTTTTATCTCATAAATCAATATTAATATAACAATATTGAACACTTGAATATAATAATATTGAACACTGTAAGCCTTTATGAAGCACTATGAATATATAGTCTCACTTAATAACTCAAATGATCCTCTTGAGGTAGGTGCTGTCCTTTAATAGATATGAAAACTGAGGCTTTGAGATTTTAAGTAACTTCCCAAAGTTGGCCAACAAGTAACAACTGGATTCAGGATTTGAATCCTAGCCTCTCTGACTCCCAAACTCAGATTCTAATGACTCCACTTTATCTGATATACATGTGAGGAAAACACTATAATGCCTTACTGCTCATACATCTCTTGACCAACAGCATCAACATCACCAGGGAACTTAAACAAACAGAATCTCAGGCCCCAGCCCTTATCAGAATCTGCATTTTAAGAACATCCTAGGTAATTCCTATGCACATTAAAATTTTAGAAATACTCATCTAGTGGATACTGGTGGGTTGTCTTCTTAGCAAACATTCCATCCTTTTCCAGAATGTTCACAATTTTGGTTTAGAAAACCACATAGTTCCAGCAAAGATAACTCCATACCTAGCTACACAATCCGCATTAAACTAAACTATCAATCCCATCAGAGTGAGTTTCACATTTTTGCTGGGAATGTTGGCACAAAAATTTGATTCATCAAGGCCAGGTAGATAAAGGGCAGATATATGAGCTTAGATACAGAAGCCGGAGAGACAGACAGAGGACAGATTATTCAGAAACAACAAGCCATGCCATATATTTGAGAATTTCTCTTAAGATGAATCCATTTTAACTGTGTGTGTGTGTGTGTGTGTGTGTATGTGTGTGTGTGTGTTGGGGATTGACATAATCAGATTTTAAAGACTACTTTGGCTACATGATTAAGAAATAATTAAAAGAATGACAAAGCCCTAAGGCAGAGGCCAGTCACAATCTGTTTCTGCAGGATACATTAGAGAGGCTCATAGTTTAGATCAGGGTGATGAACAGGGTGAAAAAGACAGTAAACAAATTCTAACAATGTTTAGGAGGTAGAATCAATAGCCTAAGTAGTTGGTAGACTATAATAAGGAAGGTATTTGGAAAAGCCTCAAAATACCTGGTTTGAGCAACTGGGGTGATAACCTTCACTCAATCTGAATAAATAGAAGCAAAGTAGGGACAGGATGAAGAGTTTGGTTTTGGACAAGTTGGACTCTCAGCTGGACTTACAGTTCAAATCCATGTTCATTCCTTGCCATGATTTTCTGTTCTTAATCATTATATATCCTGACTACATACCAATTGTTTAAAAAAGTGGATAATGCAAAGTCTTCTCCATTCTGACCTACCCTTTCCTCGAAGTTAGTCTTTAATATATTTGAAGTTTTACTGATATGCAATGTAACTAATTCAGAAATTTGAGCACTTTTCTCCCCCTGTATTAAGCACTATCTTAGTGTGAGTAAAATTTCTAAAGGGAAAACATAACCTATAATCAGGTCGCTTACAGAAGAAAAGAATCTTGTAAGATTGACTTCTCTCCTGCTCCATTCATTGTTAATGATCACTAATGAGAAGGAAGTAGGATTTGGTTCACATCTGATCATCCCATAAATTAAAATCATCTAGAATCCTGGTCATGTGAGCATTGTCAGCTCTCTTCAGTATGCGGCCCCCATTTTTTTATTTCAGCTCCTTTAAGATAAGCTTCCAAATGCCGAAGTACTCAAGATACAATCTACTGAATTCTGGGTTCCAAACCTTGAAGCATTAGGATTTGCTGGAGTAAAATTTGAAGATTTTTTAAATTTTCCTGTGACTGGATGTTAGAGGGGATTTTTCAGTCTCTGAAAACCATCTACTGAAGAATCATGTACAATGAACTTACATCTGCCTTAAAATCGCCACAGAAGCCCAGGAATCTCTAAAAACATCGATGGCAATTACAGCATTTAATTTCCTATTATTCAGATGTTTCCAGAGGACATGATATATCCATTTATTTATGTTTATCTTGTGTTTGTTTTTAAATAGTCAGCAACCTCGAGGAGACAATAAGGTAACAAAACTGTTCTGACAAATAATTCACAAATAAACAGTTCAGTAATTAAAGTTGCTCCAAATGTTTTCACTCCTCAGCAGATGCAGTTGTTTTTGTTGTTTTGGGGTTTTTTTTTAGGGAAAGAAATAATTATGTAGCTGCCATAAAAAATACTAGCAAACAAAGAGGGCAAAATTTGTTTCTGAGAGAATAAGTATTGTTTAAAATCACATTAAAGTATGCAACTCCCATGCTGATTTTTTTGCTGTGGTAGCTGAAAGGCCCACTGTAACCTATAAATGAAGAAATAGCATATAAAAGGGAATATATATACGTGCCCATTTGGGATTGGCAAAGAAAATTTCATATACTACTCCCGTCCAAGTAATTAGGCCTTTCAAGAGACTGATTTTTTATTTTTATATATGAAATGAATAGGAGAGTGTTAGACCAACTCTGCATACATACTGAATGTTCTGTCTGAATGCTGATATTTTCTGTTCTGGAATATAAATACAATGGCTAATCTGTTTTCTGAATTGGATGACTCCCCTGATTATGAGAGAGAGAGAGAGAGAGAGAGAGAGATATGGGGGGTAGAATGAATGGAACACAAGAAGAAATATTTGCAGTCCAGAAATATCCTGACATATTTTTATCTTCTAACAGGTGAAAAGGGAGAAAAGTCCTTTATAAACTCAGCTTTTCTAATTATTATGGAGCAAGGTATTGGTTTTTAAAAGTCATCCTAACCTTAAAGTACGTTTTCAATTTTCAAGTTAAAAGCAGTGTTATAAACTAATGTTATAAACTAAAATGATTCAAGCATGTTTTCAAAAATCTATTTTATGAGTACTCAGGCTAATTTCAAGTCTGAAACTGTGTTCAACAGAGTATGAGTCTTCGGTTTGATTTTTCTCTTATTTATTTTAAATTAAGTTAGGAAAAGACAGGAAGAAGAAAATAGTATTTAT